ATACTAATAATCTTGATCTCTCGCCACACACTGACAGAATTACAGCCAAAGCTGCCCAGACTTGTGACTTTATTTCTTACAATTTCATTCTTCCTGAAATTAAATTAAGGCTCTGTCGTATGCTTGTACTTCCCATTCTCGAGTATTGCTGCCCATTCTTTGGTTTGATAAATGAAGCTAGTCGTTTAAAAATTGAAAATGCCCAAGACGTTTTTCTAAAAAAACTTTTAGATAAGGAACATCCCAATATCTCCTAATCAGATAGATGCCAGCTAATTAACCTAAAATTTTTATGGGTTCAAAGACTAGAAGCGGGCTTCTGTCTCCTCTTTCGCATTAATAATAGCTCAAGTCTTCCTCGGATTTCAGCACTCACCCCTAGTAGTCACCCATACAATCTTCGCAACTCTTCCTTGATTATACCTCCTCCAGCTTCCTCCACCTCTAAGCGCTCCCTTTTTTTCGCTTCCAGATATACTTTCCTCTGGAATAACCTTCCAATAAATGTAAGATCTTCAGAAAATCTACACACATTTAAGAGAAGGCTACGCCTTTATCTGAATACTCACTCGATTAAACTTTTATTTACCTCATCCTTCCCAGACAACTTTTTCTATGACACTGAGAAAGGGCCACCGGGAATTTAGTATGCCGCCTTTAAATTTCCGTATCTGTTCACATCTCCTTCCTTTGTGAGTAGTCTCGCTTCCTAAGATCCCTCACCAGAAATGTTAACTTTTCCAATTTGTCAGTTCATGCATCGTGCCCTCACAGAATGCGCTACATCGATGCTCTTGGCGAAACCTTCTGTATTCGCCATATACTAGTTGTCTGGTCGCATCTCCCTTGCCCCATCCTCGGATGCACTCGGATGAATGTAACCGACCGCATCTGGGTTCCTATCGCCTCGAGACTGGTTTTCAATTTCGCCACTTATTTGCCTTATTCAAGGCCACATACAGGCCAGTCCTGACCGACTCGCCTCCTTACCCCTTCATGAAATCCGTTATAAAATGCCATATACAGCTGACATTTATTTCGGCCCTGTTGATGTCCGATTATAATCCATTCTGTACTGCCACATGCAGGCCAGTCCTGCCCGCATTTTTCTGTTTCTATTTTTTTCGAGGGTTTTTTTTTCTCCTGTAAAATTAATCCAATCATTTTTAAATTTTCATGTGGAGTTTTTTTTCACCCCTCGCTTTTCATTTTTCTTAACGGACTGCTAATTCAAAACTATGTGTTGCGCTTTGTACAGATTTTGCCTTCCTCGTCTAAAATTCGCATGTAAATTTATTTTTATTTGCTTTGATGCGACCCCGACGGGTCTTTAATAAACATAATTATTTATTCTTATTATTATTATTGTTTAAGTTGTACAAATAAACTTGCTTTATTACCTCATGCAGATAGAATCTCTGTCAACGTCGCGTGGATATGTGGGTTCATATCGCAGATTTTTTTCTACCGGATGTGAAGCTAATACTTTATTAAATGTTTGTTCTTCCAGTCCTCGAATACTGCTGTCCTTTCTTTGATTTAACAAACGCCTGTGACCGTAATAAAATCGAAAATGTTCAGAAGATGATAGAAGCGAATAGGCGAGTTCCAGGTAGCACTTTAGAAGACGAAGATGTGATCACTGGAACCAGTGGTCGAATCTTCGTTTTCTGAATGTTCAGAGGCTTTTCGCCCGAAAACTCTTCTCTCAAGTCGAATCCCGTATTTCTTATACTCATAGATGTCAGCTGGCGAACGTTTGGTTTTCGTGTGTTAGAAGTCTCAAAGCTGGCCTTTGCTTTCTTTTTCGCATTAACTCTAGCTCCGATGTTCCGCTCATTGACACTCCAACTCCGTGCGATCAGTCTTATACCACGCTCAACTCCTCCATGCTGATTCCACCGCCTGTTTGCATTACATATAAGTGCTCCCTCTTTTTGCTTCTAAATATGCCTTCCCTTGGAATAATCTTCCACCAGAAATTAAGCCATCGCCTAAGTTACTGGTATTTAACTCGAAATTACGCAAACACCTTACAACGGAAAGTATAAAGACACTTTTAACCGTCTCACTCTCGAACACTTAGCTTCTTGACTTCGAGAAAGGTCCTCCTGGATTTTAGTTTATTTCAGTTTATTTGATAAGGATGATAGGCAAAGCCTTTGAAAACCCTATTGATTACATGTCAGCTCGTTAGAAATAACTGTATAGGAACAATGAAAATATTCGCTATGTAAACAGTACTTGACTCATTTGAACAGCATTGTCTCAGAGGAAAAATCTGTGGGGAGCCGGGGTATTTAGTTCAGATTCAGACTGTCGAGGGAAAACAGGGGACACAAATAATCATCCAAGCGTTTCTTGAAGAGTTGCAGGGATTTTGCCTCCACGACTGACTGAGGGAGATCGTTCCATTTCCCTACTACCCTTTGCGTGAAAAATTCAGAACGAAGGTTCAGCCTGGACATTGTTGTCCGTAACTTCATCGAGTGGCCACGAAGATTGGGTGAAAGGTGCCACTGAAACATGTCCTCAAAGCTAAGTCCATGCTCAAGGCCATTTATTATCTTGTAAACCAGGATAAGATCATCTCTTTGCTGCCTGTAACACAGAGGGAATAAATTAAGGCAATTCAGTCTGTCCGTATAGGATTGGCTTTTTAGACCGTTTACCATCTTCGTTGCCCGACGTTACACCCGTTCGAGGCATGCTTGGTCCTTTACCAGATGGTAGATCAATATGAAACCCTCAATTATATCCTTACAAACCCTGTTTTGAATTTGTTTCTAAATCCAGTGCTATCACTCCTCCCCATAGTGACGATTTTCGCGGTTCTTGATGCTATCTCCCCATTTCGACCTCAAGCGGTCTGTCGACACTCACGGCGGAGCCCTCAGTATTCGCCATTTACTAGTAGTTTGGTCGTATTTCCCTTACCCCCTCCTCCGGCTGGACTCGAAGCGGACTGTGGCCGATCGCGTCCGGGTTCCTCTCATCTCGCCACTTTAACGCGAATAGTCTCATCCGGCGTATGAATGCTTCCCTGACGATGTCCGTTTTGAATCTCTTATACAATATCACATGCAGGCCAGTTCTATCTGACCCGTATACGTTCACCTCAAGGCAGACATTTATTTTTGGCCTGACGATGTCCGATTATAATCCGTTATACACTGCCACATGCAGGTCGGTCCTGCCCGCATATTTGTCTTATTATGAGCGACATTTTTTCACTGTAAAGTTAATCCAATCATTTTTTAAAATTCTGGAGTGGAGTTTTTTTCGCTGCTCACTCATCATTTTTCTTAACGGACTACCAAATCAGAAACTTTGAATTGCATTTTGTACAGATTCTGCCTATGTCGTCTAAAATTCATAAGAAAATTTCTTTTTACTTGCTATGTAGGAACCCCGAAGGGTTTTTGAGTAAAACTATATATTTATTTATTTAATAGCCGCATTTTCCAAATCGGGATTTTATTGAAATAAATGTTGGGACACATACAAAGTAATGAAGAATCTCCTGCGGGAACCGCCGCCTTTAAAATATCTCCCAGAATAAATAACCGCTCCAGAAAGGGGAGTGGAGGATCTGTGTAGGTTTTCATGAGGTATGATGAAAGCCTGAAGATATTAGGCGGTTTCAAACCCGGGGTGGGACTGATAATGGAAGCGGGGATCTCCACATCTCAGAGGCCGGAACAGAATCCTGATTAGGCGTGGCGGAAAGTACAACGGAGGCGACTTAGAGCGTGCCGTAAAATTTGCGCCATAATTACTCTGAGAGATTAGTTAGGGAGGATATCGCGATTTGAGAACGACACGGTGCATGGACCGAAAAAATTGAAATATATTATGAGAGCTCCTGGAAAGCGGGACAACGCCCAGAGAGGGAAATGTGAGAGGATGCTGTTATTTGGCACCAATGTACAAAATTCCCGATGGTCCTTTCTTAATGTCATAGAGAATGTTGTCCTGAAGGGATGAGGTGAATAAGCCCAATGGAGTCAGTATCCGGATAAGACACCCTCGGGTCCTGAATAAAAGTTAGTATTATTATTAGATAAATGCACAGCCCTCTGCTGAAAGTATGTGAAGTATTTAGCGATCTCATATAGATTGGTAGGTTATTCCAATGAAAGCTGCACCTGGAAGCGAAGAAGTGGAAGTGTTTATAGGTGGTTATGGCAAGAGAAGGTATAATCAGGGAAAATTTACGAAGATTGTATGGGCGACTAACAGGGGTGAGGGCTGAAATCCCAAGGAAGTTTGATTACGAATATGCGAAATAATTGCACATAAATAGATTCATTAAGGGCTCTGTTTCTAACCCTTTAAATAAAAATGTAAATGCAAAAGATCCTCATATTTCTCATATTTCATAATCTTCGGCTCACACGCTTATTTCCGACTTGGCGCTTGCTATAGATAATCTCAATTTATACCGACAACCATATCAACTATAGAGTAGATGCTCAGGGAGAAGTAGAAAAGATTGACTAAAACTGGGTTGCAGCACAGATTATCAGCAAATGTGGCTACTTAAGCACTTTGCTTTTTAAGGTACTTGCATATATTTCATGCATACACTTATTTCGGCGTCAAACGCTTATCCTTATGAGACGTTGGGAGAAATTTCCACAGAGACAGCCGACGACGTACGAACAATTGACCTTCCTCCACCGTTGTCGCGATCACGGCGTGTTACCGAAGTCTCTTCGTTTCAAACCAAAGCTGTCGAATGAGACTGGGAGATCCCTTGCGCACAAATACGGATGGCGCGTTCTGGGGGCTATAATATCTGACGTCCACAACCCACTTCGCAGATTTGAAGCAATTCTTGGTGACCTTACAAATCAGTGTGCTTCAGCCTTTCCTGAAAACGTACTCGGGGAGGTGTAACAACGAATTAATGCCACAGCAAAGGATGCGAGATCGAAGAAGAGAGCTGATCGCCAGATAAACTCCAGTCTCTGCTCCGCCCCATGAATGAAAGAAGTATGGCCAAGCGAGTTGTTAACCTCTCGAAAAGGAATCTCCTACCGGCTGAAATCAACCTCCTGTTTAAGGGAATGGGCTTTAATCCTACGGATGTTACACCTACCAACTTTCTAGCTGTGCTCGAATACATTCTACTGACCTCTGACCTACCTGAAAACAAGCGCGCTGACATACGCAGCTGTGCCACTAGTATCCTCCGGCAAACAAGACACCAGCAACCTCTACCGGCCGAAGAAGCGCAGGGACTGCGAGCGCTGAAGTCCGACCACAGTATTGTTGTTGTTCCCGCCGACAAAGATGGCGCTACCGTCATCATTGGACAAGACTGACTCCATCAACAAGGCAAATATAATCTTCATTGACACGGGTTCTTATATCATTCTCGCCGAAGACCCAACGAAAAACCAAACCACAGCCATAAAGAAAAAGGTTAATGAGTTTGCTCGTCTGAAAGTCATAGGTCCAGATGACTCAAAGTTTATGACCCTCAGTGATCCCCATATCGCACATTCGTACAGTCTCTCAAAGGTTCACAAAATTGGTGCTCCACTGAGGATTATAATACCGCTCATCGGATCCCCTACTTACAATTTAGCCAAGTGGCTGTACAAGCATCTGAAGCCCCTAACTCACGGATCTCGCTACAGCATTAACAGCTCCCACGAATTCCGCAACCGGATCGACGGCCTCAATGTAAGCACGGATTAATGCTTCTTGTCTTTTGACGTCGTTGTCTTATTTTCTTCTATACCGCACGATTTGGCAATTGACTGCGTAGCCCAACGGTTACAGGACAATCCTGCTGGTATCCCAGCGCAGCACGTTAGAGAACTGCTCAAACTCTGCCTTACGAACTATTGTAAGTTCGACAATAAGTATTACCAACAGGTGAAAGGAAGCCCAATGGGTTCCCCAATAACCGGTCTACTCGCCGAACTAGTGCTGCAGCGACTAGAACATGAGGTTTTCCAAACTCTCAACCCCAAAATGTGGCTCCGCTATGTCGACGACACCTTTGTCGTAATAAAGAACCGCAAAGTCGAAAGGCTACATCGGAGGCTGAATGATGACTTTTCGGCCATATAGTTTACCCGCGAAGAGGCAATAGGAGACAGTCTGTCATTTCTGGACGTAAAAATGCAAAGGCTGGACGACGGTAATCTCGCAACCAGCGTCCATTATGGAAGCAATCACCCTGTGGCTGACAAAAGAATGTGCGTCAGAACTCTCTACCACAGGGCCTACCGGTATCGCAGCAATGACAATCTGCTGAAGAAAGAACTAGGTTATCTATATCGGCTATTTCGATCTAACGGATACCCGATCAGTTTTGAGAAGAACTACCTCAGGCGTCAGACACAACCTCGAGGTCCCTCCTCAGATTGAGAAACCGTGACCCCGAAATTCTTCTCCCTGCCCTATATGCAGGGTACCTCAGAAATGATCGCCCATCAGCTAAATCCGCGTTGCCCACAAGCCTGCATCCTCGCTGCGCACAGTCTTAACTCGAGTAAAGGATTCTATCCCCAAAGAGGAACATCTATCGCATCCCGTGTGCCAACTGTCCCTGCGTATATGTTGGTTATACAGGACGACGCCTGGGCACTCATATTAATGAACACACACTAGCTGTCCGTCGCCGTGATCCACTGTCCCTCCTCTTTGCGCACGCACTCCAGTGCGACCAACGTTTTAATTGGAATAACACCGAGGTCATCGCCACGGCCAACACAAAACGGGCAAAAGAATTCCTAGAGGCATGGCATTCTAACGCGGACAGCATCAACCGCCACGTTGATCTAGACGCCCATAATGAGGGCCTAAGATCACGCCTCACTAAGCCAAACCCGCAGTTCTGCCTCCCCTCCAACACGGGGAGCCGTAACTGTTCCCTCCTCCCCCCTTCCTGCCCTCCCGGCTCAGAACCCACCATGACTCCCTGCCAGCATCCCTCCTCACACGCTAATGGTTCGTCCGTCAACGTTTGTCCTGTAGCGTCTACTAGTCTAGTGTGACTGTCTCACTCTCTCTTTTAGCTTCATTTCGTCTAACGACGGGTTGGTGGTACCAACTCGAAAATTCGCAAATACAACTCGATTTTTTCCGCAGAACCTCGTCCTTTCTCCTACATTTATGTCTATATCACAAGACGCGTACAAATTTGTCGTTTCCCGCTGTCCTTCCGCGATATATTTTAATCCACGTTTACTTTAATAACTGCCTACAATGGTTTTACTAACGCCTTCCGATTGTAGGAAACAGCCGTGGACAACGAAAGTTTTGCATTCGACTGTTCGTGACAGATATTTGTCCACTTAAAAGCCTTAAAATATGTTTATTACCGATCAAATGTCTTATCTCATTAATTTGTGCCCATTATCAAATGTAGTAATAGAGTGGGTTCTACGTAGAGCGTGCAATGTTGCACTATTATGGCTTCATATAGCCGACTCACCTACGAGGGTGGCGGATTTTGATATGCCATTGTATTGTGGGTTGTTTTTCGACGTCAGACTAGGTCCTCAGAAGGAATTACAAGGCAAGTGAAGCTTACGACAACAACGAGCACCAGGCAACGACATTCAAACGAGCGATGACGGAAAAGAAATCGAGTCGACCGAAACCTATTTATTATCCTCTTCGTAAGTCAACTCAACCGCGCTTCTGTTCCGATTCGTCCGTGTCGGCTTCGGTTGGGCCGACCAGGGCATTCACTGACGGTCTCCTTAAAAAGAAAGAAAGAAACGATGTACAAGCATTAGGCAAAACGTTATTGCGTTAAACCACATCTAAAGGAATACACCCTGGGCAAAGAAGTCGGTATAGTAGAAGGGGGTTAAAACGCAAAAAGGTGTCCTGTTGCGCATGCTTTTGAAGTTACCGTTTAAGATCCACAGTTTTGCCGCCTATATCGTCATAGCGCTTCCATAACCTCGGCCCCGCGGAGTTAGAGGAGGTACGGTGGGGCGGGTGTTGGCTGGGACATTTCCTTCCCTGAATTTTGAAATATATTGAATGAGTGAGTGTTTTAAAGGCCGTAATGTCAAAAAGTCGTTATACTTCCGAGTTCATACTCCTGGTTCTATACAATAAATGGCTTACCAAATTTGTCTCAGCACACCTTTTATCCATTTATGTGCCCGCAACCCATAAGCTGTGTTGTTATCAGCCTGTCACATTGTGTTTTAAGGTAATGGGGGCATTCTCCATGAACCAATTGGAAACCACTAGACAAACTTATTTACGGCGTGTGCTCCTCCAACTTGAGAAAATATCACTCGCGGGTAGATCGTACGGTCTGGGGTACCTATCTTTCTCACCTTTGCACTATTGACCACCTGCAGAGTTCAATCTATTACGATAGATCTGACCTAGTCCATAAACCCGAACATTTTTTCCCTTTTTTTGTCAGGCGTTACTTTCCCCTTTTTACAGCATCTACGCTGCCACTCATTTTCACCGTCAATTTCATTTCCACTTTTAATACTTACCCGTTGTTCAATCGTCACCGTCTTTTGGTCGTGGAAGAGATGTTAATGTTATCTGTCCCAAGTTGTCTCACTGAATCTTTGTAGGTTGCAACAGGACTACTCTAAAATCTTCTGGAACCAGAGTAAAGGAATATGGCGGTCCACATGTAATGGTGTTTGGGGGAGCCATCGAGACCGATTCTGACGTAAATTCACCCTCTGAAGTTTCATCTGACTCATCTGAAGACGAGTTAGAGGACTTAATAGACGACATTCTTGATAATCTTGTCGTTTGTCAGTCAAGTTCCCAGAGAATGACCATAAAAAACAAGAATCGGAAGGAGCGACCAAAACAGGAGCGTCAGGACCGTCCCAGTGAATTAGAAACGGCCAGCACCTCAAATGATGGGTCTTTCCCATTCGCATTTCAAGGATATGGCTACCAAGGAACCCATGAGAGGGCCCAGTCATCGACTCGGAGTCATGGCAGAATATCATGGTCTCATGGCGCAGCTATTCCCGGCTCGTTGGGCCCGGAGGCCTTCTCCTATTCGTCATATGCAGAGGCCGACTCATCCCACATACTGCAGCCCTCAAATTATATAAAGCCATCATTAAAAAGACAGTGGTCTCCCCCAGTTGATCAGTCGAAGAATGGCCGCGATTGCGGGGAGGGTTTGAACGAAGAACGAATTGATAGTGACGATGCGACAGGGAACAACAGCGAGGATGAGTATTATCGTGTTCCAGATAATCTTCCCCCCAACACCTCGAAGGTTGTTCTTTTTGATTGTCAATATTACCGATACACAGATGGAAGACAATGGTTTAGAGCAACTTTTAAAGGAGAAGAAGGGTTGGAAAATCGTACACGTTCGTGGTGATGGGGCTTGTCTTTTCCGCAGCGTTTGTAAGCTCTTCAAAAACTCCTTCACACTTTTCTAGCACACCAAGTATTCGGCGATGAGGAAAAGCATGAACTCGTCCGGAAACAGGTAGTTGACTATATGGTAGGTACTTCCATCTTGCCTATTATGTTCCTCTTAAGGTGAAAAACCGCGAGCACTTCTCACAATATGTGACTGAGGATTTTGATCGCTATCTCCAGCGAAAGCGTCACCCAAACTGCCACGGCAATCATCTAGAAATCCAAGCTATCTCGGAACTGTACAATCGTCCTGTCGAAATATACCACAACAGCGCCTCGCCGATAAATGTCTTCCACGCCGAATATTCCCACGAAATTCCACTTAGACTGGGTTATTATGGGCGAACGCACTACAATTCTATAATTGATCCTTGCAAGCCAAGTTTTGGACAGGGCTTGGGCATGCCCAATTACCAGCCTGGAGTAAGTTGAAGTCGGACTTCTAGATCCCTCGTTTAGCTACCTGAGCAGGATCTTGTTAAACAGGCTCTTAATGAGTCGGAAGCAAGTGAGCTCGAGGAGGCCATGCTTCGCGATAAACTGGCAGAATCCGAAACCAAGGAGCTAGAGGCCTGCATCACCGACCATGTTCTACGGGAATCGTACTATGAACACTGGAAGTCCTGCTTTGAACTGCCGGTAAGATAAACTGCCTTTCTCGAATGTTTCTTGACTTGTTACTAACTCCGGCTATTATTTATAAAGTTCTGCTAAATTGCTTTAATACAACCACGCATGCACCCAATAACCTACTGTCATGTCAGGAATTGGTGCATACCGATCCATTGTCATCATGAGGTAAACAAGCTTCGTATGGGTGATAGGGGCAACGAACAGGCAACCACCTACCGGGCCGAAGTCGATCAATCTATGATAGCCGCCTGGTATTGTGCATAAGAGGCGTTGGACTTCTAACTAACAGGCCGCGAGTTCGAACACCAGGTGTTGCACACCTCGGAGTTGGGTATGACTGGCTGACGACGGCCAATAAGCCAGAAATGGCCGTTCCAGTCTCTCTTGTCTTTGTCGGTAATAACATTCTGCCTATATTATGGGCAGCTGTGCGGCTGCCGGTTGAGCTCGAGAGAGAGCCCGTAAGGCACAACAGAAAGAGTGGGTTCCGTAAGAACGGTCGGTGAGCGCCCCGCCATCATAATATATATTACTTACATAAACCAATACGGTCCCAGGACGAAGTCCCGTTTAGGGGCAGGAGGGGGGGGGGACACCAGGGAACCACTGTCGTTAACCCTAGTGGTAGTACTAGTCGACCTGACCGGCCCAATTTCCACACAACCCAGGCGTGCGTACGCGTGACACCTATGATTGCGTGTGATCTAACCGAAAATTCAAATCTATCTGTTAATTGACTGATCGAATAGCTTGTCCAGTAAAATTATGCATGCACCTATGCTTGGCTAGCCAGAACAGTGTAGTGCATGTGGACATGCGCCAGGCACAGCATAAACTGGACGACGTCGCCCAGCGCGTGGCAGTTTGTCTGATTTGAGTGGTTTGCAGCTCCTCCCAGGCACAAGTCGGGGTAGTGGGAAAAGGTTGACATTAGGATATCCGACTAAACGGTAGGGCCTGCACACATGTAGACCTGATAGTGCTTATCGATTGTGAGAGGGATCGTGAACTGCCGCTCGAGCGGGCTGCCTAGCCTGACTTTACGGCCTATACACAGGTGTTGCTAGTACAGCAGATGGAGTGTGCGGACTTGTGCCGACCAATGTGCGCCGGTGAGTTTATACCTTAGTATGAAAAGTAAGACAGCGTCTGACCCTGTGCAGCCTAGGGAATACTGAACACGACGAATATGCCAATGGGGCAGTCTCACTGTCGTTTGGACTACAAAGTTGAGGTAAGGCACAAAGCCCGCCCACCTCTTCAAACTTCATCGGCGTGGGCAGGTAAGTATTCTGCGTGTCTGAAAACAGATAACCAGCGATGACTTAGGCGCATGGGAAAAGTGCACGCAGGAAACAATGGATGCGAAGGAGACGCGATCGCTAGCACAAGAGCTTTATTAGCCTGACGTTTCGGATTATCACTCGAATCCATCATCAAAGACAGAGTCAGATGAGGGTGGTAAATTGTCCAGGTGGTGCAGTATTCATCGGATGTAGTTGCTAGACCGCTACATGCCACGCGCAGTTGGCAGCTCCCGAGTGAATCACAGCTCAACTGGTCAGGTGTTGAATTTTGCAGTTGCCGTGCAGTTGCTATGTGCTTGTGTGCCGGTCAAGATTATCGGCTCCCACGCACATCGCACGAAATCGAGTTGCTGACTGCCGGATTTCGTCATCCGCATGGAATCTTGGACAATTCGACTCGCGGACATTGACACCAGGGAAAGGGGTCCTCCGCACGCCGTCCTCGCGGCTAACCACTTTGCCTAGACAAATTCTCAGCGCCGAATATGGAACGGGAAGGTCATTGCGCTTGTTGATTGACTGAAGACCGGAAAACCATGATTCAAGCAGTTCGCGGCTCACGCGGTTGTCCTCTCTAGCAAGAATTTCTGCTTCGACAAACTTGAATGTGCGCTTGGGTCTCGTCGAGTGAGCCGCGACTTGGGAGCTGGCGTCTTTCTTTCTCACAGTTGTTTCATACTCGGCCATTCGCGTCCGCAGTAGTTTTTCGGTGTCTCCGACATAGTTGCTTTGTCCGCAGCCGCACTAGATGCGTCCGAGTGCTGGCACGTTTTTAGGACTGCATTAGTATCGCAGTCAGAGTCACGATCTTGGGCTCGAGAAGCTTCCTCCTGAGGATAACGGTGGCTGTGGTGATGACGGTTGGCCTCAACAAAGGGCTGCGTCACAGACGCGCTGGACCAAAACAGTGCTCAGGCGAACACATGACACGTGCTAATCGGGCTGCACAGAGTGCGTGCGAGTCCATAACTTCTGTCGTACACGCGCGTATGGGACGTCTGACGTTCGACTTCGTGCTACCTCAATCACTGCACACAATCTTGTAATAGCTACTTGGTAGGCTTAGACAGTGTACTGGTGCATAGGAGAGAGAGAGAGAGAGGAGTAAGGCCGGCTCTATGAGTCCATCTTCAAGGCTGATCATCAAGCTATTCACTGTAATAAATAATAAATCTATCACGACGCGCTAACAGTCATGACGTTTGAGGTCGCCAACTTAGGTAATAACTCAGTTTTTATCAGGACTGGATGTCAGGCTTAGTAACTCCTTATTGTGGTCCTTCTGGCACTCACGCCTGTGAGACCCAAGCCCCCTCACAGAAAGTCCGGTGCACATTGTGGGGACCAGGTTGTGTGTGGAACGCTTAACATTTGCGCCCGAGTTTACCTCCGGTCGTCCTGACATTGCCTAGCCACTGAAACCAGGTAAGTGAGGTAGGAGAGTGCTGTAGATTCTGTGCAAGTCTGTCTCACTGCGAAATGCTTCACGCAAAGGTCACCGGTATTGCGCCAGCCCCGTGCGGCACACGGTGGATTTCGTCATTCGCGACGATCAAATTGTCGTGTCCATGGAAGGCAAGCTGAAAATGAAGGTATTTGGCCACGGTTGTCCGAGCACTATCCGTCGAGTGCTGTACACTGGCCTCGTCTTGAATATGACAGTCCGTACTCACTGCAACAATATTGCAAGATTATTTCAGGCGTGGTATTCACCGATAAGTTCGACGTTGCCGCCACTCATCCAACAACGATGCCTAACTGGGGGCGACGAAGAGGTCAGCTGGAAACTTTTCTCAGCACAATGCCTCAGAACTCGAAAGTGACGCTTGGACTTTCGTTATTCGGTTTTCCCCGCTGGAGATGACGGTGAGTAAATTCCTTGCTGCATATCACTAGAAGCGGAGGTGTACGATTCGTGATGCCGTCGAGACCCGTGAGATTAAGTATGATCCGAGTGCAGGCACTAATGATGGCTACATCATCGCGACTATATGACTTTGGAGGTTGGAATCCAATGAGAAGATTTTTTTTACCTTTTATTCGGACTAAAAGTTGCCCAGTGGGTTCACAAATGTCGATTATTCAAAATCTTCTCCACCCCCTCAGACAACCAGGTTGCTTTAAACCGGGCGGACAGAGACAGTTTTTGCCCATGAGGTCATATGTCAGCAATGGATGATCACCTACCAAACAAGGCGGACTTCCACAAAGTGAGTGGCACGGTAACTGACACAAACGCAAGGGAGATTCGCACTGCGTGTAGCAAGGCTTCCCTCGCCATTCTCGATTCGCGCTGTAACTCCCACTTAAAGGCCAGTCGTAATTCAGAGTTATGCTTGAGGCACTGGTGCAGATGCCCAGAGTTTTTAATTTACGCGCATCAGTTTTTCACCTCAGGATCGCCAAGTCAGTTTAAAATATGTGGAACTTCGCGTCTTCCCAGTACAGCAACTGGGGGTCCCGGTCCGAATTTCTGGGCTTTGCCACCTACTAATAAGAGTGAGACGAGACCGTTTGGGGAAGGAGTATTCCCACACACCTTGCTTCACAGACCGTGTACTGGGCTTTCCACCGCGGACAGCAGCGCTTTCGTGCCAGTCTCATCTGATTAGCAACTTGTGTGTTGTCAATCCTCTCCTAGGGTTCTCATTTTGCTGAGGAAATTTTCTGTGGTGGGAGGATGGATCAAATTACTGAACTTAAAAGCCTCCTTTGCAGTCGACTGGGGCTGAATCATACGGGAGTATCTTTTTACCTGGGATGTTCACCTTTTCTCTGAGCCACTGTATGCGTTTATAAAACTCAGTCAGACGACTGCCTTTCCTACTGCCTGTGACTCTTATGTATCACTTGTTCGCATAGTCTAGCTGCATTCGGATTTCGACTGTTTTATATCAGTCTTAACAGAATATGCGGATATGAATTTTAGTCCTTCGTTGTCGTTCTGTTACACCTTGTACCATGGGCTTGGCAGCCGCTTGAGTAGTAACATCTCCAGCCCGAATCATCGGCCTTTTGCGATTGTTTCGCCTCCTTCGCTTTAGGCCAATGAAAAGATCTCTAAAGCAACATGGTCTACTTCCTCACCCCCCCGTGCACTTACATCAGTCTCCAGCAGTCCAACGCAGTCCACTGCTACCATCGCCATTGCTAGTGCTTGCTCCAGCGGCAAGAGGCAGGCCTCTCCCGTTATCTCCGCATCAACGTCAAAACGTCCGCAAACTCATAGTGCTGATGCTCCGCCATCGTCATCAGCGGCGGTCGCCGCGTCATCTGCATCCACTTCTGTCCGCGGTGCTGCACCTACTGCCGCGGCCGCCAGGGCCGGCGAACCGGCGGCCTCCGCTCAAGCCGATTTCGCTGTGCTCCAATACTTACCAGAGGGCATGCTGGGTGAGTCCTTTTGTCCACCGTACAGCACGCCTTGCCGTGCGCGATGTCAGTACTTTTTTATTTGTGAATAATGCAACGCAAACGTCTAGAGAGCATAGGTACTCGTGGCTTTCATTTTTTTCTTACATATTGTACACAGTGTAATCTGTAAAATACCCTAAAAGTCTTCCGATTGGCCGCTATGCACTGCGGCCGCAGGAGGCAATTAGTTTTTTGTTAGGCTGTGTACAACCCTAATGCTTTCTCATATGCACCCAGTGTGATCTGCCAATGGATTAAGTGAATGATCCTCTCAGGTAGGCTATCCCTCCCTCATAGTTGGCTATAAGGAAGCATTGTTGACGAAGACAAAGGAGACTGCAGTGGCTACTTGGAACTTCTTTGTCGTTTACGAACTATACCTCAGACCGGACAGATGCGGAGCTCGGTTCGGGGTCAGTTGGTTAACTGGCCAAACGCATAACGAGTCACGATATTTTCATCGGCTGCTTTTCCGTGTCAGCCAAGATTCGGTTAGGGCTGTCTCCTTTTCCGGTCAAAACGACAAGGCAGATCCCGTCCTTTTTCAGCCTAAGAAGAGGCGACAGTCCGACCGTCTCATGCGACCTTGTTCACCGTGTGCTCCACAGTACCTTGACTTACACGGGAGTTAGTTTATAGGCAGAGTGTTATTACCGAAAAAGATAAGGGAGACTGGGATGGCTATTTCTGGCTTATTTGCCGTCTTCAGTCTGTCGTACCCACCGCTGAAGCCTATAGAACACTTGGGGCTCGGTCCCGCGACCCGTTGGTTACAATTCCAACGCCTCTAACTACTGAGACACGGACTCGTCCTGTCGGTTTAGTTTATAGTGATAGCAAACTTGCACAGCACCTGCCGCACTCTCTCCTCCATCATCAACGTGAACCCGATGGAAAGACAGTCAAGTCGACCGCAGGTGGACTCAGGTGCATTGGCTGAAAAGCCGGACAACCCGTCTACGCTCGCCACACACGACCCGGTCCCGCGCAGTGGAGCGACCCGGATCTTACTTTCGCAAGAGTGCAACTGAGGCTACATTAAGGGGCTGTTAAGCCTGTCTTTCAGCCCTCATGGCAGCCAACTCATAAATGCACACAGTTAACCACAAGGACCGAGCTATCCCGTCAGTTGGCAGCCTTCCAAATCACGACTTTTAACTCATCCTGATAGTTCCAAAGCGCGTCAGATTTATTATAGTGGGTAATTCGCTGAAGTTTTGTGCGGACGGTCTCAGAGTTGGCCACATTCTCTCATCCCTCTCCCATGCACTTGTCCACTGTTTGCGCCTGTTAGTCATCCGGCGCTGGGATGGGCTAGGAAGAGACACCCGAGGTGTCGGTTTTTACAGACGATTAATACGCAAAAACTATGCGAAATAAGTAGCATCTTGACTTCCGTGACAAATTCGTTACCGACCACCACCACCACCCGCCTTGTACTCTGGTGTTTGGACTGTTTGCACCTCATATTTTGGAATAAGTGAGTACGCCGTATTCAGTATGCTAAACGGTCTACCCACCATAAGCGACAGATGCTTTGTTATCCCTCGGCAAGACGGTTCTTTCAAAATTACCATGTTATTCAATAGGGTAAGGCGTGACAGGCATTATCTACACAGGAGTCAAATAAACGAAAGCAATGGATAACTAAATGTTTGGGCGAACTTGGTTTCGACTGAGGAGTGATAAACTAGTCCGCATCTAGCGGTCAAAGGACGAAGAGCTCGATGACAAAATCAATATCTCGCCTGCAACTTGAGCAGGGGTCCTTCTGTGTTTGAATGGCTGTATGGAGCCCCAGGAAGGAGAACACTGTTCTTTTCTGATAAAGACATTGATGGTTTACGTCGTACGGGTTACCGCAACTGTATCTTCTGCCAACATTTTAAACCCACCAGGATAGTTTTTTCAGGAGGCCAATGCATCAGTTCATCAGTACCAGACCTTTCAGCATTTCAGAACTTCCGAAGCATCAAGCACCTTCACTGATCAGCTGGATTTCCTGACCGCAATGAAATAAATCACGTTTGTCATTATCGTAAATTGGGCAAGTTCGAAAGTGTGGAGTTTATTTGGTCCCCACTAAATTACCATGGTTCATTGGAGGGCCAATTTTTCGACATTGTGTTTGTCCAAGAGACTGACCTGGGAACACGATGATTACAACGGTCAGTACACCTCTCAAAAAGCATTGTTTGGCCTTAAAAAGGAAGTGAGAGAGTAACTGTAAAGACAGGTGAAGCTGGTGGGGCTTACACCATACGTAGGAAGCGAGGGACTAAGAGGGTAGAACTATGTTACCGCGACCTTCGTGGCTGCCTTTCGAGTGTTTATATGCAACAGCGAGGAAGATTTTAAGCTTATTCGGCCTGCCTCAGCTACAAATCGGAACTTTTAGCTAGCGGGATACGTCTCAAAGTTCTATTTCCGTTTCATTTAAGCTGACATTCAGCAAGTGGCTGCGTCCTTTGACATTCAACTTTGCGTTGCGCATGTTCAAACTTCGGAGGGCAGCGCACGTTCACATTTAGGCTTGTCACTGATATATATGCCGAGTTGCAGCTAGCCGTGTCCCTAAGTCGAAGAGACGTAGTAGTAGTAGTAGTAGTAGTAGTAGTAGTAGTAGTAGTAGTAGTAGTAGTAGTAGTAGTAGTAGTAGTAGCAGTAGTAGTAGTAGTAGTAGTAGTAGTAGTAGTAGTAGTAGTAGTAGTAGTAGTAGTAGTAGTAGTAGTAGTAGTATTGGCGGCGGCGGCGGCGGCGGCGGCGTTGTAAGTTGTTTCATCTGTCAGCTGTCGAATTCTAGCTGTGGAGGATTCACAATCCCTCCACGTTGATTTTTTACGCTCCGGGTTTTCGTGGGTGTTGCAGGTTGTGAAACTCCTATTGTCGATCCTCCTTGCAGTCTGACTTTTCTCTTGTTTGGGCCGGGCATCAACGTCGGTACATATTGGTATGCGAAGAAAATAAACGATGACGTCGAAACCAGGAGTGCAAGTTGCTGCACAGTTTGTTATCCATTAATTTTTGCGTCCCTTTAGACATGAATGAAGACGAGTTGTTAGCCATGGTTTTGGAACAGTCCCGCAACGATTACCTGGCAAGTTTGCGAGCTTCGAAATCGCGGGAGGAGTATGCCCTGCCCTCTACTGTCCAGTCGTTCTTCCGACAACAGTTGGAACCATCGGAGGAGTCTGGCCTTCCTTCGTTCTCCAATGCATCTGTTCAGCCTTGTTTTTCTTCCTCCTCCGGCAGCGACTCTCAGAAGACGGCTGAACCTGCACCCGAGGGAGAAAAAACTGGTACCTCCACCAGCCATGCACCCGCCCAATCCGACAATTATGGTGGAGACATTTCATCCTAGCTGCATATGCACACACTTGTCGTTTGCTTTTGGTGCTCTCCGCAGTCTTTCCATGTCTTCTTATTTTTAAGAACTCTGGCGCTCCGAGTTTCTTCTTGCTCATTATTTTTTGCCGTTTAGCTAGTCTGTACGCTCACCTTCTACTAATACCCCTTGTAAATCTGCCGACATTTGGCCTACTAGAGGCAGGCTGCTGTATACCTATAATTCATATCGATATCCACGTCTACACATACGTACGTACTCACACTTCCACGAAGTTAGGAAACCAATGCCCCATTTAGCAGTAAGCCTCTCTGTAAATACCGTTTTCTTTCACCAAGAGTTTGACGCGTGCTGTGTGAAATTCCTCGCTCGTGTGCGTGTGTGTGTGTTTGTGGACGCGTCTACCTGACTGCACCTTCGACCCCTTCTTGCGCCTCTTTTTCCTGCTTTTTGTTGCCCCGCTCTTTACTCCTCCACTTCAAGTTTTGTCAAACATGCTCCAGTGCTGCACGTCAGCACGTAAGTGGCGTACAGCCCATACGTTCTGATCATCTCAGCCAGATTTATCCTCTTTTTGCCAGTTTGCACGTCATATCGTTGCCCAGGGGCCGAAGGTGAAGGTGACGATTTCCCCAAGCTCTTATTTGCCTCTTTACTCCGATCTGGTTCTTTTCTCCCTTCCGGGGCATCATGCACTATCATCAGTCATCCTCACAACTGCATTATACAACTTTTACGATTAACTGGATTCCTGTCGGTCTGCTACACAGACGTTCTCTTTGGTTCTGCCTGCTTGGTGTCCCCGCTTGGTTCGTCTTCTCACGTACCTCGCTTAGCAGCCTGCAACACTTTGGATGTTCATGTTAGACGGGTCATCCGCAGATACCGGTGACTTACGGGTTTTGTGGTAAATATATTAAAGGTTGCTTCTAGCGCCTTCCCTGTCATTAGGGTCAAATGGTGGACCTCAAGAAATGTAAGCGTCCGCCATGGCCCTCGCAGCCTGGTGCGCGCTGACAGCTCTGGAACCTGGTTCCCTGCCGGTAAATGCGCTTTTACTCTCGCTAGAAATACAGATCTTGAGCATGGCTGGTCAGTCATCCTCATCCTTTAGACTTGTTGTGGTGCTGTTGTTGGTTAAAATCCTGGTCCAGCGTTTTGTTATAGACCAGGGGGTGTGGTGGTACACCTAGATGCGGGTCCGGCCGTGCCAGCCATCTGCGCCCTCCCTCTCCTCCGGTCTTCTTGGCGCTGTATAGACACCGGATCCAGTTGTGGAGGAGGAGGAGGTGCGTTAGATGCTGCAAAAGTCACCGTGCCTACTCGTTGTGAAGCACACGGGGGACATCGTGGGGCACCACGAGTGACAGTTTTCTTATTTTAGTTTTGTCTATCCCTCGGTCTGTTCAGTGGCCTCAACTGCTTATCTACTGATCTGGAGAATCTTCTTGATCGCGTATACTATTTATTGGTTCTTCTCAAGGATGATCTCCTATACCTCGGTAAACGCCCGCAGAGCAGTACGTCGGCTGCTGGTGACCAATAAAACACGCCTAACTACTAGCCGCCCTCGAATCCGTTTCTTCCGGAATGCTACTAAACCACTAACGGTGACCACATTGCCTAACGATGTGCGATAGACTGTGCTTAGTTCTTAGTTACTGCCATACTCGCGCGTGGCACTTGTTGGGCGGTAGCTTCCACCACATCAACCACTTCACACAATTTCAACCAGGCGGATGAATGGTTTGGACGGACTAATTATGCATGAGGGTGAGGGAGGCCGACCCAGCTAGGATCATGCCTTTGGCCCGTCATCATAACCAAGTGTGCTTCGGAACTATCACGACGAATTAGTACCTCTGGCCTGGAAGGTTGCCAACTGGCTGATTAGCATGGTCCCACTGCGGGCTGAGGGCTAGGCTGCAATGGTTTTTCCTTCCTGTGGCCTTTATGGCCCTGCTGAACTCAAGCTTATGTGTCTCTGTAAATGGCTGCTTCTGATCTTTTTTGCACTCTTAACCGCCCTGCGGTGGCGTTTTTTACTGTCTAGACCGAATGATGGATGGTCGAAAACCTGTCCCTTTGGACTTTTATTTCTTCAATTCTCATGTTAATCTCGAGAGAGAGGGAGGGAGAGAGACTGGTTTGATTTCGGGTAGGTCAACATATTCAGTGCATCCAAAGGCCTAGTATTTTGAATCCCACCCATTGTGTGCAGGGCCACATGCAGTGATTTAGACAAGCAGGGTACACCCGGGCGGAGCACTCACAGTTCTACGGAACTTATCCAAGTGATGCGTACGGAATCCCGAGCATTCGAAAGCCGGGACCACACAATGACTACTTTACTTTGTAAAGAAATTCCTTATCTATTCGCGATCTGCATACTAGATTTCAGTGTCTTACTTCCCGTGAGTGCATCCTGTTGCCCCAACTTGTCTGTTCTGGAATTTAGCTGGCGCAAGAAGGTGAGTCAGCGGCATTCTCCAAGTATTGCTGCATTTGCATGTGGCACGAGCTAGAAAGGAGGCTTACACGCAAAGTCATTTGCTGCACCCTATCTCATCACATTCAGCTTGGTTTGAACAAGTTTTTAGTTTATGGGAGCAAGCGAAGGAAGGGGAAGGGAACATGAGGTCTCGTCTCACAATAAACGAACCAAATGCACCTTCAGAATATTACGGTCAGATAACAGTTGTGGCTTGGAAGACGACTTACTAACCGGACAACATGTTCCTAGTCGGGACTGAGGACCAAGCCGCAATAACTCCTTAAAATGACCTTTATAGGGCCCTAGCATGGGATGCGAGGCTAGGCGATCGTGGTCTGGTACATAGGGACCAAGTCGTCTATGGTACACGCGAACGGGCTGTTTAGTTCTGTCAGTCGCTGCGCACTCGCCTACTTCCGGTTGACTTGGCATGATCTTGCCATCGGAGAAGCAAGTGGGGTAGATACAACCCATGTCCGTTCATTATAAACAAGTCCACGCACACGACATCCTGACCAACCCTTATTGTGGCGCTGTACCTCAGCGACCGTCGAGCCGTCATCACCAGTCTCTGTAATAATAACAGTAGTATTGATGCCGGCAGCACCACAGGCAACGGTGTTTTTTTGGTGTATATGATGATTTATGAAAGATTGGTGAATGTCGACTACAAAGCCTTTTTCCAGTGAGACCCCACTGTCTTAACGGTGCGTTAGTTTATTGAGCATCTGGTAAAGTGACCTGAGGACATTACACTTCTGTTGGTATCCGATATGGAGACTCATTTCAGATGCACGCTCATTGTGAATGACCGATTTTCCTACTCTTGTAGAGATAAACCATAGTTTTGCGTTCCTCAGAAATTAACTGCTAACTTGCAGTAAATCAGTTTAAACTAAAGTCTATAGGCCCAGACCGAAACTTGATGTTTGAATGTTTGTGTCGAAGTCCATCTGCCGCAGTCGGCAGGTGATGAGTATTACGCGGCTATCTCGCTGTGGCTGATGGGCTTCGGCCCAAACATTCAAACACCAAGTTTCGGTCTGTGCCTATAGACTTAAGTTTAAACTGATTTACTCCAAGTTAGCAGTTAATTTCTGAGGAAATTAGAAAGCAAAAATATGGCTTATCTCTACGAGAGGAGGAAAGACGGTCCTTCGGTCTATGCCGATAGACTTTGGTTTAATCTGATCTGCTCGTTAATTTCTGAGGAAAAAGCAACAATTTCTAGCCTAGAGTATCTGTGAGGAGGCATTTGGAGAATGCTGGGGGACCCACTGATGAGCCGAACCCCTTGCAGCTGTGCCATGCAGTGGCGAAATATCGGTGAAACACGCATTTGGGGTTTTAGCCGGTATTTGTGCTGATAGTATGGTGTCTTGTAACACTGAAATAAACCCTACTGCCTATCCTTCCGTGGAATTCAGCCGGATTAGTATTAATAGTATTGGTGGTCTTTGTGATATTCACAATAGTTTTGCTATGGGTTGAGCTTTTAATAATGACGTAATTGACTATAGTAGCATGGATAATTCTTGTAGTATTAGTGAAAACGGGGTCAGTGGGATTAGTGGTATTAATAGTTATAGGGATATTACTAGAATTGGTTCGGACAGTGGTAATTTTACCGGCGAAAAACTCGCTCAAGACCATGGTTCAACGTAGATGGGGAATTTTAATCTCATTGTTGCCGTAATAGTTAGTTTTCGCACGAACATCATTTTCTCCGAGAGTCAGCGCGCACTGCCAGCAGACGACGTTCTCAATCAGCACAGATGAGCCCGGAGTAAGATCCACTTTTAGGCGGCCAAGTAATCAGTTTGAGGCGATAACACAGGGAAGGTTCGATGCGCGAGTAGACAGAGGATATGACGGCTTATTTTCAAAGGTCCACCAATGCTAGCATACGACGAAGGAAAAGAAGGCAACATTTCTATTGCTGGCCGGTGGCGCTACGAAACTTCGGAAGAAGGAACGTCGGCGCGAATGTCCGCAGAAAAGTATTTTGGCTGTCTGGGTCCTCTATATCGGATGTTTTCTCTACTAGGATGTCCAGATGTCCAAAATTCTTATTACACGAACACAATCTTGCGAATCATTAGAAGTGTTCGCCTATATCTTCCAAGGTAGTTACGAACTAGATTTCGTAGTCGCTGGGATGATTGCCCACGACAACAGCTGACTGACGCCCGGACCTCTGATGAGAATCGAGTCAACCAGTAAACCGATCTTCCACCCGTATGCGGAGTGCTGCGTAGTCATTTTGAGATCCTCAGCACCGGTCGTTGACCAGTTAACGTATCCTATAATTTCTGTTGCTGCTGCAATCCCTAGCGATGGACTCCTGTAAGAGTGTGGGATTTCAGGGAAATTAAGAAGCAGTGCTCTATAAGTCCATCGCCTCCTCACCCTTCAAAAGAATTAGGATCGACTGCAGCACTCCAGAAGTGCAAGCGCATGAATCCTGGCACTTTTGCGATAACTTCTAGCCGATGGTTGCTCATCAGACTTTACTTACTCAGTGTATATGTACCCACACACAGAGGGTAAAAACCAGAAAGCTACCGAAACTGCATTCTCTGCTATGCGTCAAGAATGCTTACGATGCAACGGAGTCTTGCCGAAGAAGTAGCTACCGGTTTTCCTCAGACTCCTTAGGCAGTCGTATTCAGTCAAATTATACATGCGAAAGACCAAATAAAACCCCATTAGTAATCAGGATCGGTCTTTTAGATCCCATACCTAAGTTATCCTTCTAAGCACACAGGTCAGGCTTGATGAAAGCTGGCATCACGGCTGTGCAAACAAGCTAACGATAAGAGGGGGTTGTCAGTCATCTCAACTGACTGCCTAAACCCAGCGAGTGGTTATGACTTCAACTTTGCAGAAATGAAGACAATTTTCTGCGCGTCCTTAGTTCAATCTGAGAGAACTCAGTGAGACAACATATTGATCTCTCTTCGGCATACCCTGATGCCCGAGCCCGAACCCGGATAGCCTATAAATGCCGCTGATTAGTGACAGTTTGTAACTACCACTTATTGGCTGCTGCTTTTCTTTTCTCTAGTGACGACCCTTCGTATGAGTCCGAAAGTTTAGACGAATAAAGTTGTCCCGTTGATCAGATGTTCTTCTTTAAGCTTTGTAGAACATGAGTTCCTGAGTCTGGAGTTTCATCTTTTATATAAGTGTGAGTGGCAGAAAGGAAGTACCTCGTTCCGCCAATAACAAAAACAACTTCGCTAATCTAAAACCTGCGGTGGTATCGTATTTATGACAGCCGGCGCTGCCCTGCTCGCGTGTTCTGATTGGCCGGATTCTGGCGCGAGAAGGTGGTCATCTAGTGTTGACGAACCAGTGCGCCGAGCGTTCGCACGCGGGCATAAGCGTGCTGGGCGACCGTCGTCCGTGCGCTTATAAAGTGTGGGAGTATCCTAAAACCCAGCTGTCCTGAAAAGTTCCATCCGGTGAGAGGTACTCTCCAGCGCTCCATTTCACATTTTTAGTCTCATTCTCGGTATTTGCATGGAAGACAGACAAAGTCAATGAAGAAGAAGACACGATCGCTGGGACAAGAGCTTTAGGGTGAAAGAATTAGAAGCGCGGGGATTCATGAGTTGCTGCAACTGCATCAGAACACATGAACCACAACCTCCTTATCATTTCTTACGTTCTTAGCCGCCTCCACTCCCCAGGCTGGAATCCGAAACGTCAGGCGAATAGCGCTCTTGTTCCAGCGGTCGTGTCTCCCTCTTCACGACTGCTCCCTAGAACTCGCCTCTTCGCTTCTATTAGCCCTCAACACTGTTGCTCCTACGCCCGAGTCATTGACTCCCGTTGAATTACGTGCCGACTGCCAGGTGAGATCGCAGAAACGTGTTAGAGTCAAATGCAATGTGACTTGTCGAATTATAGGCAGAACACTTCAATGAAGGGTGCAACCGTACATACCGCCACGGAAACAGCCTTAGGAAAAGCAAGTGCCTAAGAAATTTATCGTCGCACTGTGGGACAGCAAGAACCCCCTGCGATTCTTAGCCTCTGGAGATGCAACAGTCATCAGCGGGAATTTGTGGGCAACCTTTGCTTCAGCAATAAAACAATAGTGAGGCTCAGAAGGCAGTGATCGTCATTGTTTTACCAAACTGAGAGTCAGCCGTTGAGATTGTTAGTTCCGGCATGAGTGCGTACGTGCGCCTGCGCCTCATCAACCTGTAACCAATCAGCAAATGGTACAACGCCAATTGACGTCAAACTGTCGCCACGCCGGGGCAAGCAGTCAACAAACAAGGAATGGGGAGGGTCGGTCGTCGTTGCCAAACCGCATAGACGGGCATGAGCTTGCGCAGCCCTAGGACCCGCAGAACGGCACCAAAACTGGCTTGACGCGAAAGGCGAGGACGGTTAGTATGTGCTATCTGAGAACGGAGAACCGTGTCCAGCCTTTGAGAACGAGAGAACTTAATCAAATAAGCCGAATATGCCGGGTGCAGACAAGCACTATCGCAGAAACTATGGAAATGCAGAATATACGGATGAACCGCAGAACGTAGGAAACCTAGGGATCCGCTGACAGAGGTGACGTGTCGACTTTATTCACTCGGAAAGTTCTGGGTGATCTGCCAAGAGGGGATCAATAAACCTTCTCGAGTCGAAATAAACGCTCCCCTTGATCGGAACTCTTTTGGCAGAAGACAATGAGGGCAGTTCAATAGCTGCCAGGGGAAAAGTTCCGACAATGACTCGATCCTAGCCATAGTCTACAAATACGATAATTCTGAACTTCCACATAAACTAGCATCTATGTTCCTCAAAAAGTGGAGATTAGGAAAATTTCCATAGTATTTCAGAGCCAAGTGGAAAAAATCGACAAGTATGCTGCACTCACCGAAATTTCCGTAGTTCATCATCACAAAAAAGGGTTCCGGTCAGAAAATACGGATAAGCGTCTATTCTACCCTAGCTCATCTCTCAGAGGACGCCGACGGAGACTTGAACAGAAGACTAGGAAGGCGTTTGGGTGTTGGGAACTGTTACCACAAGTTGCGAGGCAATTCACAACATCACGTAGGTCTGTGCTGTCGACAACGAATAGACCTCAGCGGTTTTCATTTCGATAAATGAGGTGATACACCCATGCTTACTCGGCAGGAGTGCCTCTAACCTCAATTTACCCTCAGTGTTAGTTATCGGCTGTCTGGATAGACGCATTGACATCGTTTTTAACTAGTGAACTGATGGAAGTCCTTTCAAAATTCCGGGAAATTGACAGTTTGACAGTCGGTTACGACGATGTCCACCGGTGTCATGACCAAATAAAGAAGACTGCAGGCAAGAGGATGCAGGTGACTGGCAGGGCATAAACTCGCACCTAGGCGTCCACAACAAACACTTGACCAGGATTTTGCACAACAAAAAGGGAAGAGGGTGACGGCTCCAATCCCACGAAGTGGGAGTGCCATAGAGACCACATTAAGACAGAGCCATTTCAGCCTGACGCTCAGTCCACCAGTTGTCCACTCACACAAACACACACCGGGCTGACTGAGAGGTTCGAGTTATCTCGTCAGTTGGCAACTTTCCAAGCTACGGCTTTTAGTGCACCGTGGTAGCGTCAAGTGCGTCAGGTTGTTTTTACTGGGGAAAGTGCGCTGAGTCGTCGACTTCACTATTCCCACTCCCAGGTCCTAGCTACTGTCCGAGTCGGTCAGTTATCTAGTGCAAGGAATGGACGCAGTGGCTGACATAGCTAGTGACCCCGTCTGTGCGTGTCACATACACGACTCGGCCTCTCGAACGCAAACAGCGGGATTCCACATAAAAGAGGGTGAACGGTATGCATCTCACATACGTGATAATGCCGGAGGTCACGTTGAGAAGGAGCCACCTCAGCCACCACCAACCAGTCTCTCAAAGCAAAACCACACAACCGGACTGACTGCATGGACTGAGTTGAAGCGTCTTTTGGCAACCCTCTAAGCCACGGCGCTTAGCGCACCATGATAGTCCTAGCTCATGGAGAAAGGGCCGAGAGGCATACATCCCACTAACGCGAGAGGTGCCTGTTACGTGCTTGCATTGTATGACTATGGGTGATGTTGATGTGCGTTGTAGGTGCTGCTGAGGAAAGATTTGATGGTAGAGTATAGCAGGCGGTGTTCTACCTCAGACTCCCATGAATGCGCATATGACTGAAAAGGTTGTGTCTGAATAGTTTGCCTGTTCGGATCACGTCGGGGTCACCACTTTAGTGGGCAAGTCAATCGATAACTTGACCCCACGCTAAAACTACGTTGAGAAAAGCCAAACAAAATGGCTGTGCCAGAACGAACTTAACTGTTAAAGCCGCCCAGAGAAGAACAAAGGTAATGGGTGAAGTCAGTTAGTCAAACCGAAACTAACACCATTTGGAGTGTGCGTGTAATCGTTCCATAAACACCAACTTAAACAAAAGGGGATAAATGCGAGTCCAGGAAATGCTAAACAAGTAGAATAACTATAAAAGGCATTGTATACACAAAAGTATGACAAAAGGCTACCACAGGCCCATGCTTTGGCTGAATGTGCGTGCGCAGTGTGGACAACTGAGGCGATCGCCAGTCTCTATGCGATAGATTCAGAAGTGACCGAGCTGGCTGATGCTTGAGGTGAATGTGCAGGAACAATGTCAGCCGGATAGGTCGCGAGCTGTAGAATCGGCTTCGGGGGTGGTGGTGATGGTGCTTTTAGTGATGGGCGCACGGAACGATGAGCAGTTGGTCGGCCTGGGGATAGAAAAGTTGGTGGAGATGTAAGATGTGCTAGGTGTGTATGTCCTGCGATGAATTCCGCTGTTGTGGATACGCATGTAATCGATAGGCCCCTGCGGTGAATGAATGTGGACAGTGAAAGTGGATGCAGTGAGTGTATGTTCGGTTTCCTGGCACTGGTTTGCTAGTCTCTGGATTCGCAAGTGGCGGACTAGGCCGATGGGTGGGATGAATATGCGATTGTAATGAGGACAGGATAGGACCGAATCCACATCTCTGGAGGCGGGGATGGTGATGGTGAGGATTGTGGTTGACGCGGCGCCGGGAGCGTTGCTGTCGATTGCGGGGGTGGTAGAGGTAGTTGTGGTAGTCGTCGCCGCAGAGGTTTGGGCAGAGATGTTGGAGGTGGCGATGGTCGACAGAGGCAGGGCACGGGTATTCGGAGCGAAGTGGTGGGGATAGGCGCCATCGTAGACGCCGTGGAGGATGAAGCACTGGCAAATGCGGAGGAAGAGGTCGGGGTTGTCGGCCAGTTGGTAAATTGGGTCCGAAGATGCTCAGCGAGGCCGATTAACGCGCAGAATGTTCGTTGGCATCGTGAGCATGTCAGCAGAGGTTGAACGCTGATACTGCGGATCAGAGGTGCATGGGACTTGCTAGCTTCCCTCTTGGCTTTGGCAGCGGCGACCCGATCTGCTTTACAGATGGCCTGCGTCAGTCTTCACTTCTCTTCGCCAGACCGGTCTGTCGTGAGTGAGGTCGTTCCAGGTCTCCGAGCTGATCTTCAGTCGCTTCAAGGAGTTCTTTAAAGTGTCCTTGTATCATCGCTTTTAACCTCTTGGTTAACGACCACCCGTGGCGACATTTTCGTAGAACAGTTCTTTTGGTACGCGAGCGTCGAGCATTCTCATGAGGTGGCCGCTCCATCGCAGCTGCAGTTGCCTCTGTATAGCACGGATGCTGAGGATTTCAATCGGTTCCAAAACTTCCGTGTCGGTTATCCTCTCTTGCCGCCTTAGCTTTAATATGTGTCGCAGACAACTGAGGAAGAGGTCATTTGGCTTCCGTGTTTGTCTCTTGTAGACTGTCCAGGTCTCACTACCATACAGCAGTGCCGTCAGAATGACAGCTGTGTACATATCGAGCCTGGTGCTCAGGTTGGTCCATGCCGTTTCCATACAGAGCTGACGTACCATGTGCGTAAATGGCTCAGAACAGCCGAATTTCTGCATGATTTTTCACAGTCCTTCGCGATTAACCGTGTCAAAGGCTTTCGTGAAGTCCACAAAGATAGAACAGAGGTTAGTCTACTTCTCCTGACACTTTTCTTGCAACTGGCAGGGGGCGAAGATCATAGCGGTGGTTCTATGGTGACGGCAGAAGCCACACGTGTTTTCAGGGAGAAGACCTTGTCCGAGATAGCCGTTGAGAGGCTTGAGAAGAACGCAAGCGAAAATCTTTCTGGGGATGTTGAGCAGCGAGATATTCCTGTGATTATCACTCATTTGCCGGTTTCCCTACCGTTTGTAGAAGTGGACAATTGCCGTATCCTTGTAATCCTGAGGAACTTGTCCGTGGCGCCACATCTCCTGGAACAGCGTTATGATTCGACCCATGAGGTGGGGCTAGCCGTGCTTGTAAACTTCGGCATCAGATCCCGGTGCCCTCCCATTGAAGAGTTGGTGCACTTAACAGACGCTTTTTGGGAAAGAAGACGGCAGACTCAGATCGTCACTCGATTCCACTTGGGGTAGTCGGTCGATGGCGGCGCCGGAGATTGCAGAGGGACGGTTGGGGACGCTTCTGGAGTGCTCGATCCAGCGCTTTAGAATCTGTGATTTCTCCATCAGGCGATCGTCTATGTTGCTAAGAATGGTAAAGGCGACGCCCGCGTCACGTCGCTCTGCCCTAAGGCGACCGCATCTATCTCCTCCAGTTGGCATTGTTCGGAGAAACGGGTCCCGTTGAGTGCACCAATGTACATCTTGTGACGCGCCAGTTCTCGTGCTACTAGCGCCATTTCTCTTTCCGGTCGGTTGCTCTTCAGACTGTCTAAAAGGGAATGAACATTTCCGGCTGTTGCAGCGAGCGGACTCACTCCAGCAGCCCGTAGGGATGAGGATAGGGTTGTCGCTGTTGCCGTTGTCGTTGTTTCCGTAGTTACTTCGAGTGTCTTGACCGCGGGTTTCGCATCTGCGAGCCACGGTCAGCATGCAGAGGATGTAGCCCGAGAATTTGTTTAGAGTACCTTTTCTAGCTCCTTCCTCCGTGAGGAAGTAAGCAGTGCTCTCCATAAATAGGGCTGATTGAACACCCCAGGCGGCTGCTGGACTCCACCATGATCCACGACTTTTTTGTTGGAAGAACGATCCCAGTTTGCCTGGGCCGCCTACGGAATTACATGCCGCCCTCTCCGTAGAATTTCTGAAGTATGGGGGGGAGGAAGGGGTGGGAAGGGAAGCAGAGCTACTGGGTACAAGAATACACACAATACGCGATATCGGGAAGGTACTGGCTGTATCAAAGCCTCCAAAGACAAAAACATCCCCCTTGTTTCATCGCCGACAATTCGCTGAACATCACCGCAGAATTAAGCGTGCAGATCGGCAAGGAACATATCGCACTCCGATGTGAAACTTCAGACTTATTATGCTTCGACCGCTGTCAGCTGTATGATGCACCGAGCCACCATTGTCTGAGTTTTGTGAGCAGTTTGCATACCCTGGGCTAGCACATTCGCCATAAACATCACAGTCAACAAAGAACTTGCGAGCTGAATATCCAGAGCTAGGCATGACTCTCAACAGTCTTGTAAGGTTTCGACTGGAACCGAGACGACATGCTCGTCTCTTCCAAACTGAAAATGTCTGAAGCTTTCCTACTGACAGCGTTCCCATACTCTGTAGGAAGCTCCGAATGTATGGACATGCAAACGAGCTCAGACACATCTGCCGCAGTTGAATTTCGAGGCCCCTGAGGTAGAATGGAAAGACCATATGTCTGACACTCAGTGTTGAGGTCGATCGATATTCTTCACTACTACATAGTGTTAAATAAGCGCCACCATCGTGCATCTGTCTGAACTGACGAATTTGCCCGAAAAGGACCGAAACAACTCTGCAAGGACATCCTGAAGACGGGGTTCAAATTTATAGGATTCCACTATGAGTTCTGGGCGTCAGTTTCGCAGGATCGGTTGGCCTGACGGTCCGTCATGCAGAGTGAAACTCCAACCGTAGGGATCAGCCGATTAGTAGAGGCCATGTGAAAGTGACCGAACTGCCAGACCGGAAGAGCGAGACAGAAAAGTGACAACGTCCAGCCTATTCCACCCTCTCACTACTAGCAGCGGACCTCAGTGGCCTTCTGGTACACGCTCCGCATTAGCCGAAGTAACGACAGCGGCAATGACAACAACAACAAGTGGACGCTAACCTGAAGAACACTGTACATGCTGACGAGACCCGCTCTTACTGTCATCATTGTAAAAGCACGGTTTGGTCCAGATCGTCCTAATTAGGTGATTCAATGTCTGCATCACCAAAAAATTACTACTCGTTGGACCGATTCAACACCGTAGCTCACAACTCTCTAACTTGCTTTCGATATCTACGGGATAGGACTCGTTAACCACTTTAGAATACACACAATTCAAGGCGCCAACCAGAAGTCAGTTATTTTTTGATTATGACCACTTGATGGCTGCCTTCTGCACTGTGTCCCGAAGTCGACGATGTTGCTCTGTGGGATCTAAAAGGTGACCGAAAAGGCTGTTGCCTAGCAAATATATGAGCGAGTCTGGTTCATGCCGACGTGAGCCGAGCGCCTGTTCAGTCCACGAGAGACCAAACAAACTGCCAGGCCGACCATTGAGTCCAGTCTAATCTTCAGTCAGTTGGACATGGGGGCAAGAATACATAAGGAGACCAGCGATTCACGAATTTCTCCATTATTACTAATATGACGTGCTCTTGTGCATTCACGACGAATTCGCCGCCGAGGCTTGCGAGTTTGCCAACTATCGGGATGGCTCGGCCCTCATTCTGAATTAATGATAACTCCCACTAGTGTGATGTTTAAATGAGTAGTTTGGTTAATTTCGGCTGAGGGACTGGTGCGTATTTTGTACTAGAGGAATCTGGGTAAATGCCTGAACAGTTCTTATAACATGGTAAATTCATTTGAAGACGATGGGTCTGTGAAGGGCGAATGAGGACTATGTCGCGTAAGTCTCTCTATCATATACTAATTTACTTATCAGAAACCATGTCTCCCGAGGTGATGGAGCTCCTCATTTATCGCGATAAGCGATAGTTGTGAGAGTTAATTCAAAAACCCGTCTAGTAAATGGAATGGGAGACCCAGATTTTTCATTCGCAAAATTGGATTTTATTATTCTTTATAAAATTTTCCACGAGAAGGCTACATTACTTTGATACAATCCCCTTCAACGCCAGCGTGTTACTTGAGGTACTGAAATCAATTTCTCAGACCCTGATTAAATTCGTTGTATGTTAACCAACCCAGTTGCTCCTGAGCATCAGAAATGATCTCTTTATGAATTTCGGACACTCTATGGGGAAATTTTCCCCAACCTTTCAGAACAACCGAGAAAAGTCATACTGGTGACTGGATCAAATGAATTCCAGTGACAATGATAATTAACCGCTCTCCCCTTCATCGAGAATTGTTGCTCACTGGTACACTAATTGCTTGTATCGGCAATAACGTGATTATTTGCTTACAGTGACGAAATCAAGCACCGGACCGCCTTCAGTCTCCCGTCCCGCTCGCGTGCCATTGGCCTGCCAAAATTAAACCGTTTGGGGATAACGTGGGGCACGGTGGCTGATGTGATGTCAAGTCCCGTCATTCCTACATTCACAAACCAGCTCTTCGTAGGGGAGACCCAGGATGGCGTATTAAGAAGAGTTGCCATAAAGTTCACACTAAGAAGGAACCATTGCAGTCTATTCGTCATTTCATAGAAGGATCGAGATATTTGTCAGTAGGCAACCGTCCAATCGACAGGTGTTGGCGCGTAGTGATAGCTCAAAACAGCGAAACTTTAACTGCTTTGATGAATTAAGTCCTACTTTAAACACGAGTACTAAAATTTCAGAAGCTAATTCTCTAACTGTTTCTCTCTCTCTCTCGTGTACCATTGAACTCTCACGACGGACGAAATACCGTGTTCACAGATATGCTTCTCGAGATGTACATTAGAATACTCGGGAAACCTTCACGAACCAGCTTCCAGTTACATGGATGGTCATTAATGGTCGACCTTTGCGAATGCATTCGTAGTATATTTGCCCGTAGTAATTATCAGACAATTCATCTTGATAGGAATTGTGTGACAGCCAGCTTGACGAGGAGCATTGATACACGTGTAGAATCCCCCCATCTTTCCCAGTACAAAAAGTTTCCTTAGTAGAACGGATGAGATATTAGTAGGAGAGAGGGGGGACTTGAGCCGCTTACAGGACGCAGAAGAGTCCTAGCAACAGTCAGAAATTAGCACGCTTTGAAAGTAAGCCAAAACCAGAACGTCCGTCTTTCTGTTCAGCAGACCAATGCAGAACCCCTGAATGCAGATAGTGACGTTGTGCCGAGGCCCTCGCTAAAACGTCCGCGATAACCAGAACGAGACAGCCAGTTAACCGTTCTAGCTAAACGAGTTACTTACGTCGCCGTATAACAGGCCCATTTAATAGACGCGTCGGATCCAGTTTATGTGCATGGCACTTTCACTGCTGTGCGACAGTTTCGACCATTTTATGTGTTTTATTCCAGTGCGATCCTCTCGTCTGTGGATTATTCCATCTCATATGACTGCTAGGATATCATTGTCTATGTGTTTCTGTCCGTTTCCATTTTAGTATGCTAGGCGAAAGTCGCTGCTTTGCGGAACACCGAAAACCGACTTAGTGCATGGGATTGATGGATAAAGCTGCCCGCTTTCCCAATTCCCACTTTGAAGCAATGTAGTAGTTCGTTTAAACAAGGTCATTAACCTGACTAATGAACAAGCATCTGACGAGAATTCTAAAGCGTACTCAGCGTGCACGACCGGCTGAGTACTCAGGTCTGTCAGCAAAGCTGCTTTCCGCAAGACACACTAGAAACGCAATTCCGGGACAAAGACGACTTTGCGAATCCGATCCATTCGAAAACTCCCTCAGGATCGCACTAGGGCCTTCCCAGATGCTGACTAAACGCACTGTCGCGCTCGAAGTTTGCCAAGGAAAGTAGTGCAGACGAGCCCCCCACACCTCCCTCTTTGTGGCCAAGCTACAGAAGTTGGAGGAAGGAAACGCAAGATGCGATATATGCCTTTGGATGGTCAGCCAGCATTCATCAACAACCGCGTCATCATCAGACTGATGGAATAAGAACTAGTGAGATCGTTCCACATCGTACAGATCCGTCAAACACAAAATTATCCATTTTGTGTGCATTAATTGATTTTAAGGACGATGGGAACTATCAAGATCAGTAATCCCAGCGGCCGCCGACAGTCATGCATGTCAACATATGCAACAATTAAGAGGATTATTTGATAGGAAACATTTCGTTCAGGTGGTCTGTGAATTGCTGATGTCTGTGAATCAATGTGGATCTAAGTGGCACAAACCCGAAATCACACCACATTTCCGGAACGACAAGAGAAACTACACTGTCTTTTGTAGAGAAACGCGTGTTAGCCTGAAATCATGAGTGGATGGTACTTGCAGGTTATCTTATTTGATCCTTCATAATGAAGGCTGCCTTCGTTTTTATTCTTCTTTCGACTCTGAATAAGGATTCTGCCCAGTTGGATAGTCGCCATTCCTGAGAGGGAATCTGTGCATTTATTCTTTTTCTGAAGGACCGTCTGTCACAGCGTACTCGAACCGTGGTTCGAGTACGCTGTGACAGACGGTCCACGCTATCTCGAGAA